TTTTTCTTCATTACCCATTCAAGCTGTCTCCAACCATTATTAGTCTCAAAGTGGGTTCCTCGTCATCAAGTATAGAGAAGAGGCCAAATGTCCATCTGTCTGCAAAACTCCTCCCACAGTTTAAGTCCAATTTGGATGAAACTTTGCACAATTTTTCCACATCATAATGGGAAGTTCCTAACAAAATTTCATTACAATTGGGTCTCTTATAAAAACAGAATGAGGGTTTCACACATGGTATGATATATGTGGCATTGTCAAGAACTGGATCTCCTGACATGTTCATACTCACAAAAGAGGCAGATAACAAAACTTGAACTGTTGTATATTAAGAAGTTCTTCAGTCAATAATAAAATGTTCAAAAAGTTTACATATATTCTATTGATTGAGACTGTCATAGCAAAGTAATTTGACCAAAAGCCCAACAATGCCTGTTGCAGGAACAATCACAAACAGCCACCTTTTTGGCAGCATTTCTGCTAGTCTAACATAAATGCTGTCAGCAATGCAATATTGTGACTGTTCAAGTATTTGTATTTCTTTTGTAATATTTCAAGAACAGATGCATTTGATACAAAAACTGCCTCATCAACTTTCTTCAGTCCATATCAACATAAGGAGTGTGTCTCCTCGACTGTCAGCTCTGGTTTATCCAGTAATCTCCGTTTCTCATGCTGGCTGAGAAACGGAGAGAAATATAGAGCAATAAACTTATCACTACCTTTTAACCTGTAGTCACTTTTCTTAATAGTTAGTACAAGCTGAGTTAAGTCAGTGTGCCACATAGTGAGTTTGTATACTAAATGGTTTATACTTAGATAGAAAGTTGTCTGTGTCACATAGTGAATTGATATACAGAATAGTGAATATTTAGATATCATACTCTACGTACCACACAGTGAGTTTGTATACAGAGTGATGAACAATTAGAATAAATTGGTTTTCTAGCACCAGCACATTTGTCCATCATGGCAGCAGCACCACCTGTGGCAAGGAAAGTGCATTTTGCTACATTTACACAAAGCTTTTCAAATTCAGCTGCCACACATTTTCTCTAGTGTAAGCATAGGAATTTGTGATTGGCTGATTTAGTTTCATAAATCACATACATTTGTATAGTTGTATTTCTACAGTTACATCTGTACTTTCATTAAGCATGACTGAAAATACTGTAGATAATTTCATTAACAAGTCTATCCGTCAATACATTACCAACAGATTTCTGTAACTTACACCCACAATAGTTATTATCTGTAAAACTAACAAGCCATCAATTTTCTCAAATGGAATTACTGATTTTGCTTTCTAGCATATTGTGTTGAACAATGTAATCTTTCATGACACCAACTATGGGATCATCTTCTTTGTTTTCATAGGCAAACTCAAATTATATTCTTTCTTTCTCACCCTGTAAACAGTTCTAATATTAAGGAAAACTATATCCTTTTTTTCTCACCTGTTCAGAGTACTATCATTATGCTCAGCTTGTCATTATGGCAAACTATGCTAGACACCTGAATGTTAGGTACTTTCACTAACCCAAACACCAGTCACTTTCCTCTTTCCTTTTGCCATTCAGCAAATACTGCAACACATTGACAATTCTCCATCATAATTATTATTTATCAAACAGGGAAATGTCTTTTTCCATTCAGTAAGGGTTTTTGTGAGATTTTATTTCATGGAGTTTTCACTTTTAATTTGGAAAATCGAAAACAAAATGTCATTCAAAATCTTACTTGCAATTCTATGCAACTCAGTATATCTGAGTGAAAATACTGCTGAATATACAAAATTATCAACTCCTGCAACTGATTATATGTTTGCCCTTATAAGTAATCAATCTGACAACTATAGGCCTACAACCTGAACAAGAAACAATGTTTTGAAGCAAGAGATGTATAAATTTCTAGCCTTGTGAAATTACAGAAAGAAAAGGAATATCAAAGTACTTTTTTCTGGGTCTCACTTATTAATAATATTTGAGAGGTCATCATGTGATAACAATCACAGCTAGGTCAAAATGTTTTCACTAAAAGTTAATTTGTAGTACTAAAATAAACCTGAGTAACTCATGTAAGTATAAACATATTTGTGAAAGTATGAAACAGATGAGTATTACTTCTGGAAACTGACAAAAAGCAGCTATGAATAAAAACTTTTTTGTTATGGAATTAAAACAAATGTAACTAATAAATTCTGAAGATGGCTTGAATGGGTAGTGAAAGAAAGTTTATTACAAATGTGCACTGTAAGAACAAGCTCATGTCATCATCGGGTACAACTGGGTTCCTTGTCATCAAATTTAAATATCGCTAATGTATAAAAAATTCCTTAGTGTACTGTTTATTTGATCTATTAGGCTTAGAATCATCAATGAAATCCATATGGATACCACTGGTAGTTCAAACATATTTTCTTAACTACTTACTCACTATATTACTTGTGGGTTTATGATTTTGTTGATTACAACTTATAAGGTTCTTAATAACTTATGAGTCACACAACAGAATTAAAACAAAAATGCCATCATTATTGCAGTTAATTCTATAAATCATTTAATTTTTTTGGAACAGCTGTTTAATTCAAGTGTTTAACTTTGCAAAAAAAAAAACAAATTTACTCAAAGTTATGTAATATGTTGACCCTACTAACTAATACTCATAACGCGGTTAATACAGTGACTAATAATACCACTATTACTAGTAGTACTAGTATAGTTAAATGTTTACCTCAATAAAATTTAAAAAGAATATGCCATACTGGTGTTACATTATTGTAACGCCTACAGTTTGCAGGCTTAGCTAAGACTAAAATCAGGCCTAAATGATAAATAGGAAATTTTTTTTGTCAAACTACAATTAACACTAATAGTGTAAATATATACGTACTAATATATATATATAAATCATTGCGTAAAATCACTAACCTAGCAACAGTAACTTAAGTTCTCTTCTAGCATCACGTTTGTCCTTGCGAAGTTGTCTCTCTATTTCTTGATTTATTCTTTTCTGCTCCTTTCCTTCTTCGCTTAGACAACAAGCCATGATCGAAAATTTTTAAGCATATAAGCCCGATATGATAAGGACAACCGCCGTTGTGAAAGTTGGTATGTGAATTACTTGAAACCCATGTACTAACTACTAAAGTGCTCTACTGCTTAAGCCTACACGCATTTTAAGCTCACTGAAAACTTATATGTAAATTGTAGGGTCAAGTCCTAAATTAGATATTAAAAGAAAAGGAAAATACACAACTTTGATTCATACCATAACAAAAAGTATCTTCTTTCATTAAATATAATCAATCACCCGCGAAACGACACGCATCTAACCCGAAAAGACCCAATATCTGTCTTAACCCTAATTACAGAGCATGAAGTTCTATTCCCTCTATCGTGCTGGGCGTGGCGTGGTACGAGTTCACTCGGAGACGAGAGATTTGTCATAGTTTTCTCGCTTTTTAAATTTCTGTTTTCTCAAACTTTTTCATGCGTGTATATAACTATACAAAATATTTGTGAAACAAAAAGTTTTTACTCAAAAATGAAAAGAATAAACAGAAATAGTCTTTACAAAAGAAGAAATATTTATTGATAAAACCCTAAGTGTTCACGCTTTTTAAGCCGATGGTACTAATGTGCCTCAGTAGAGAGTTAACCTGAGAAAATCTGACATTTGTAATAGCGGTAATAATGTTTGATTTTTACGGTTTAAACCAGTGGTTCTTAACCTTTTTTTTGCTCCATGCCCCACATCGACACCTCAAAAATTTGATGCCCCCTTAATATAAAAACAAATTTGGTGTTGTTTGTTTGTTTTTGAATTTCGCGCAAAGCTACACGAGGGCTATCTGCGCTAGCAGTCCCTAATTTAGCAGTCTAAGACTAGAGGGAAGGCAACTAGTCATCACCACCCACTGCCAACTCTTGGGCTACTCTTTTACCAACGAATAGTGAGATTGACCGTCACATTATGACGCCCCCACGGCTGAAATGTTTGGTGGGACGGGGATTCGAACCCGCGACCCGCAGATTGCGAGTCAAGCTTCCTAACCACCTGGTCAGAAATTTGGTGTTGAAAAGGTATAATAATTTAATGTAAAATTTAGAAATTTACCAAAATTTCACACCGAAATGAAAATATTTTCTTATTATAGAATTTTCAAATTGCTCTCCAATATATTCAAATTGCTCACTGGTTTAAACTAAAAATGCACAAAAAAAGAGCAAATTCTCCCTGCAATGTTTCTGACTTTTGCAATATCCAAGCCTAAAATCTACAACAAACAATTCTTAACCGTCAAAAAGTGTAAAACTACTTGCCACTGTTCTCTTATCTCAATTTGTATTGGAAGTTTGACGTTTTTCAAAATCCCAAATTTACTATCATTACAACCAAAGTATTTAACCTTCATTGTGACTCTGCACTTCCAACGTTTGGGAATACACCCTTTCCATCTTCGGCGAATCCTGAAAATAATGTTACAAAGATATTTATTAATTAACTACAACTATAGTATCATTGATCAATAGTTTACTCAGTTATTAAGTAAAGTGGTAAATGGAAAGATAAAAGAACAACAACAACAACAAAATATTACATATATATTGCGAAACAGTTGAGTTTTAAACGTGTAAATTCATAATAATTTTAGGTCTAAAGAGATTTGTAAGTCGTTAAGAGTAGAGTGAGCTTTAGCTATGAGTAAACATTCTTTAATGTAGAGTTGAAGGTCTAAAAATCCTGTAGTGATGATAGAAAAATCGTTATATGAAAAATATATGTGACAGGTGGTTTCAACACGTAAATGGATGAGTGGCTTGGTTTAAGTAGTGGACGGTCAGTTCTGTTCGATACTCCTAAATGTTCACAGACTAGTTTTCAAAAGGCGTTTTATTTTTCCAATGACACAATAGTTGTAATTAATAAATATATTTGTAACACTATTTTCAGATTTCGCTGAAGATGGAATACATTTATTCCGAAACTTTCAAACCTTATAAATAATTTTGTGTGTGTGTTTTGTCAACCGTTTTCATTTTTATTATTATACTTCGTTTTCCCCATTATGAATCCATTGCACAGTAGGCCCTTGGTAGTCACCTAACATTTCCCTTAAATTTAATTAAAATCATATGAAAACTTTTCCAGTTGTACAGTTTGCACAGGAGTGAAAACAACGGGTCTCTTGTCAGACCAAAAAAATCACGCTAATTTACAAAAATCAAACTATTGTTGTAAGCTATATATTTGATATTCTAACTTAGATGTTTGTGTCTAGAGGGAGAGTGTAATTACGTCATCTAGAAATTTCATGAAAGTTGAGGATCTAGAAAGTACGTGTATTAAATAGAAAACTATCAATAATATAAAAGTAATTTGTGATTTAGTGGATTCTTCACTAAAGTATTCATTGAATCAATGAGTAAATCAAGTCAATGCCAGACAGTGAGTTATAGAGTTAAACAATCCCATGAATCAGGTAGTGAGCTAAACAGTAAGTTAGATAACATGTTTGTTATCAATTGATTACTGAGGAAGTTTTGCAAGTAAGTTTATAAGTAAGTTAGGCGTACTATCATTAGTCTCAAAATTTCTGTTTAAACGTTATGAAGTTAGGCTTACAAGTGAATGTAGTATGTAATGTAGCAAAAAAGTATTGAAATTAATTAATTAAATTGTTATATAAACTGGACATGATATTATTTTTACCAAATAGTCTAAGAGAACCATACCAATGATAAAATACCTTACAACACTGGTGCCAAAAGTGGGATTATTTTGGTAGAAATGAAATATAATTTTGACTAATAATTTAAATACAAATCGCTCTTCTTGTCTTCTAATTTTGACTTTTAGAACGCATTTGATGGTGTTTGGTATTATGAATTAGTCTATAAACTTTGCTCCATGAAACTCTCTATTACTTATGTCTAACAGGTAACATCTTTTTTTATTACCATTACTCCATTAAGCTGTCATATTTGCTAGAGAACATTTTATCTCGACCCTTCCATGTTTCTGCAGGTGTTCCATAAGGTTCTGGCTTATCACCTTTACTTCATGTACTATATGTTGCAGATATATTTCAACCATTCTATCCTGTCCATCTCTTTCAGTATGCCAATGACAAAGCTCTACTTGTTATTCATCTTCACCATGATCATTCTTAACAGAGTTCTTCAACAAACTGTAAACGTTTTCTCCAATAGTGTAAACACTGGTGTCCTACACTAAACAGCTACAAATCCAAAACTGTACTGTTTGGGCCATGTCCTGATACTCACCTCTTCAATGTCCATCTTAATTATTTTCCCATTTAGCTTTCATATTCTGTCAGACTTCTGGGAATTACCTTTGATAACCATCAAAACTGGAAAACTAACCACACAGCCACCTTTTCCAAAGTCGTCAAGGGGATCAGTCTTATGTGATGGCTCCTTTGGACCTATTGGAAATTCAACTCTTCACTATTGCTCTATACACATAAATACTTTGTATGACAATGTCTTACCTATGTTCATACTGCATGGGTATCAACTTTCTTTACATATTATGATTTTATAATGATTCTGGAATGTCATACTCTTAAATTAGCTTTCCGACTTTGTCTTCCCAATCCCATCAAAGAGCCATTCTGTATTACTTTCCTCCAATAATTTCACACCTCTATAAACTTCGTCAAAAATATATACATTGGTGTTTCATTAACAATAACATTATCCTTGAAGACTTGTTGGGTGCATCCATCTCATTCAATCTGCTGTGCGTATCCTTAACATCTATTAGATGTCTCTTCCAGTGGATGATCCAAATTTTAATACTACCCTTACGTCATTTCTGCCCCTCAAAATTATCCGTCTTAATTAATTACAGTTTCACTGATAGTTGTTGGTTTTTGCATATTTTAGCTGTGATAGTATCATTACTGTCAATTTATATTTCCCCACTTGTTTTTTTTTATTATTTTCTCTCCAATATTGATTGAATATTTTTTGCCCCTGCCCATTTATACCTTCAGACATGAAAAAGTTAAGGTTCAAATCTGATGAACGATTATTGAACTTTTATGGCGATAGTTACTACTGAGTGAAGTTATCCTGTTAGTTGTTTAATGTTTGGCTTATTGTTGTTACAAATAGTTTCTCCAACTCAATATTTCGTCTGGACTATCAGACATTCATTGTTTGTACCTTTCATTGTATTGGATGCATTCTGGTTTGCCTGCTGTGGTGGAATCACCATTCTACTAGATACAATGATAAGCCTCATTCCAAACTCTGCAATGACTCCAAATGATCTATGTCGTCCAATTATCCTACTTTATTCACTGTTACACTGAAACCAGATAATCCGAAAATTCCTGCTGCTATCTCTACTGAAGCTGCTATAATAACTTCATATGCTGAAGTTATATCTCGAGCATCACTTCTATGTGCCATCCAGCCAGTCCACTTTTGACACTGGTTCCACTGAATATCAGTTCTTCACCACCACTTGTTTATATTTTTGCTATCTCAAATGGATTCTAGCTTCTATACGACTCATACGTTATATTTTGAAATTTCTAAATATTGTTTTCAATTCTAAGTTCATAAACTTCTGCCAAATCATAATGGAATTATCGTTAAGGCCTATAATTCTTAGCTCTTTGGTATCCTTTGTACTAAAATGGGAATCACAAAATTAGACCCTAGTCCTAATTATACCATCAAGAAGCTTGGATCCCCTTCGCTTAAACAACGTACCCAACCTCATCAAACTCCACTGTTTCATGTTTCATCTATGGAGTCTATCCAATCCTTTCCGATAAAGAAATACTGGAAGATAAGATATTAAAATGGCAAGCAATACATATTAATAATGCTCAAAGACCAACTTTCATGGTCCATGTTTTAGCAAAAAGAAGTGAGGTAATTGACCACCTTTTTAAAAATCCATCCTTAAGTAACGATATAGAATAAAAACAGCTCCAATATATTTAATTGGTCCTAAGTGGTAGACACAACATTGCCCCTGATCCAGGTAGAATTACATACTGTCAT